TAGCGCGCCACATCCGTTCAGAAGTGGATTGCTTAGTCTATAAGTTTTCTTCACTTGGCCCTGTTTTTTATAGGTTTTTGTTTTTGTTAGTCTCTAATAGTGCATCATTGTGTAAATGAGTACAATTTGAGAGGATCCTCGGTTTAGGGTTTCCTGGTGCTTAATGAAATTTTGGGTTCATAAAAAAAAATTAGATGGACCTAAATTGAGTTTTGTAGTAGAGAATTTTGTACCCTATCATTTTCCGATCGGATGGATCGCATGGTGCACATATTTTTTATTAATATTTTTGGCTAATCTCGGTATAGTCCGCTGCATTTTAGTTCCCACATACGGAAATTTGGCTTTCCGGGAAGTTCGAAGCTAATCTCGGTATAGTGTCTATTTGTGTTTCGCAAGGAAACAAACCAACTTTAATGAATGACAAGAAAAATCTTGGCCAGTTGGCCGACATCAGTTCATTCCTTCATACGAACACTTCCCTCACCAAATCCATAAAGCAAACAAGCTCTTTGTCTTTGTTTCAATGGTCGACCACCTTCCTTTTATTTGGTTACTTTTCCATTATTCCTCTTTTGAATTAATTAACTATCGGGATATATAGTGATCATCTGGATTATTGATATTCAATTATTAATTAATCAACACATTTATATAACATAATTGAACTAAACTCTCACAAGCAATCAACACACCCCCGAATATAATTAAGAATCTTAATTATTCATTCTTCTGATGGATCGAATCTGTCTGTCTTTAACATGTGGAATGCTTCCTAGTTCCTACCCATAAATTATAATTTTTAGATTGGACTTTAACATAATAAAATCACACTTTTCTTTTCGTTTCGTTTTCTTTTTGTTTGAGAGAAATTATTTTTTTTATGGCAATATCAAAAAAAAAAATTATTAAGCTCTAATGCAGCATCATGGGAAAAGGATAGCATTCTGGGTCTTTACAATGATTTATAGTTATACACAGGTCTGTTATGTTTCTCAGACTACTAACTATCACACTAACCGCTGAGATTACAAAAATACATTTTGACATGTTGAGTCCAAATCCAGATTTCCCCTTCTAGCCAATTCAATTAGTCTTCGGACAGCTCTAACCACTTCATTACCCAAAACAGCTTGGCCACCATGTAATCGGGAGCACCTTTCTCTCCATATCAAGCTGACTGCTACATTCCAAACCAAACGACCAACTAAAGCACTTTTGTTTTCCCCCCTTTGAACTGCTGAACAACCCAGTTTACGTAGTCTCCATATCCAGCAAATCTTGGACAAGACTTTTGAATCATCATTTGAGCTTATTCATTGTGGTGATCCTATTTTTCACAACCAGCCAACTGATGAAGCTATGGCATGGAATAGAATACTTGCACCAGATGAGTTGATACCAGTCCACCTGCTGCCCTGATTGTTGTAAATCCTCTCAAATAGTCTTCACGGAGTACTTGAGCATTCTTTTATTGTTCCAGAAAACTTGTGTACCCCAGCAGTTCAGGAAACCTTCCACTTTGTCCCTGACTTTCCTTTGACATTTCCATATCCATGAACAGGGGTAGAGCCAGCCTGTGAGTTCCCATATAGAAGCTTCCTTAACCCTATATAAGTAAATCCAGGCCACCCAACATGAACCACTATGAGTGAGCAGATTCCAAATATGACGAGTTGTACAAGCTATATTCCATGTCCTAAGACACTTGATACCCAATCCACCCTCCTCTTTTGGTAAAGTCAGCTGGTCCCAAGCAATTACTGCTCTCTTCCTACTTGAATTCTCGGTCACCCACCAGAGGAAGTGATTTCATTTTAACTCAAATCTCTTTTATTACTAACAAAGGTAAAAGGAACACGTTCATCCAGAATTGAGATAGACTGCTCAATACAGATTGAATGAGCTGGAGCTTCCCTGCGTAGCTCAATAATTGTGGTCTCCATCCGGTGATCCTCTTTGTCAGCTTTTCAATTAAAACTCTACAATCACCGGTACTCAGCTTTCCAGGAATTAAAGGAACTCCTAAGTAACTTACCGGGAGAGCAGCTTTCTGGAATCCTGCAATCCCTGCCAATCTTCCATGCTCATCATCTGCTACCCCAGCACTAAACAACTGGCTCTTTTCAGGATTAAATCTCAATCCCGACAAATGATAGAATCTGTCCAGCAAACCACAAACACTAGATACTGCTTTTTCTGAGCCATTGGAGAAGATTAAGAGGTCGTCCGCAAAGATTGAATGAGTAATTCCAAGTCTCTTGCATCTGGGATGGTAAGGAAGCTCACCTGCTACTGCTGTTTTGTTCAAGATACAGGATAAAGCTTCCATGACAATTGAAAATAGGAATGGGGAGAGTGGGTCACAAGTCACAACTCTCAGCTTGAAGATGAGATGTAGCTAGCTATTGATAAGTTGGCAGGTATATGTACAATTTGATATGCCTGCCTGTGTTTACCAGCAAAACGGTGACGTTTACGTACAAGAATCAGCGGTAATTATTAGGACAAAGAAGACGAGACCAGACCAGTCCAGTCACCAATTCTTACAATTTGACCTAATAATAATAATCTGAATGGTTAAAGGTCGTCCTAAAAATTACTAACTATCGTCCTAACTTAATATGTAATTTACCAAATTGTCCATTTTGAATTTCAAAATCAAACACAAAACAAATAACTCCTCCCCTTCCATAAATCTAAAAAAATATATAAACCAAAATTCAACAAATTATCTTATGCACCGAATCATAAATCGTAGTAAAAGAATAGAAAATTATTGATATAAACCAAACAAATCCAAAAAAACCCAAAACCCTTCAACCGAAGCCAATTTTCGGTTGTACTTTGTTATTTTTTAGGACGATCAATAGTAATTTTAAGGACGACCTTTATCAACTCTCATAATAATCACCGAGAACATTTCTGTTTATGCATATTATTGATTACCTACTTTCAATTTGAGTTCTCTGAACCAAACAAGAAAATGCCAAAGCCCAAAGGAATGAAAACTGTAAAGCAGTGATTAGTATGTGGTTTAGGACACAAAACCAAAACCAGAACCCACACCATCGAATGGAATGCTATTAGGTTTGACTAATCTAATAGATTTAGCAGTATTATATGCCACAAAACGGTGGGTGACTTTTTGGAACTACAAAACCGGATATACCCTACGTGTCATCTGTTTTATTATAGTCATCTGAGTGTCAACAATAACATAACCATCCATGGAGGTTCTTATATACAGTTAAGTAAACACTTATTAAAGCGAGAAATGCAGGAGTATAAGAAGCAATAGTTTGGTTTTATGATATTATCATTAGTTTTCGATCAGAAAGTTGCAGATTTGAATTTATTGAGCAGTATCTAACATAAAAACAAACATATGTCACTTTTATAAATAAAAAAAAATTTGTTCCTACCATTCATTTTTCAATGATAGTTGAAAGCACTATGGAGCCTTTAGCCGAGGAGATTGTTCATTTGAGAAAAACTGAGGATTTGTTTGCTTCATGGATTTGGTGAGAATTTTTTGTTTAAAATTCAACTCTATGGATTTACCTCAAACTTACTTTATTGTTTATTTGTTACTTTTAGAATGGCCAAATTTATGAGCCTCGTGGATTTTGATGATCTAAATGCGTGATCTTCATGATTCATGAACTTCCAAGTTCCAATTCTAGAGGTGGGATTTAGTGAGGGCTAAAAATTCATGATGACTATTTATCCTTATATCTACATCTGCTTTATACATTCCCTCATGTTTCATTATCGCTCCTTCATCATCGTGTCCGGCTTGCCTTTTCATTTTTTCCATGAAAAATCTTAGGAGAGCAATCCATGAATGAGTGAGTGAGTGAGTGAGTGAGTGAGTGAGTGAGTGAGTGAGAGAGGGAGAGAGAGAGAGAGAGAGAGAGATTACGAGTGTGAACTGTGAAGATGTAGGCGATTGCGAGAGGCTACTTGAGTAAGAAGATTTATATCGCGATCCTTGTTATCAAGCGGAGAAAATCATACAGGACGTCACCCAGGCTAGCGAAATCGATCTTCTCAAGGACGAGAAGGCTAATCTCCAAGATGAACTGGCCGCCTTGTCTCATCGCTACAAAGATTTCAAGAAGGCGCTCAAGGTGTCCAAGAAGGAAACCACCACCTTGAAGAAGGCTCTGGAGGATTACGAGAGTTCTGAGGATGGACAATCCTTGTTCAGAAGGCGTGCTTGACGAGCCTAAGCATCTTAAAGAAGAAGCTTGATCGAGATCATCCAGACCTAACTTGGGACCTTGGGGCATGGCGAACTTCGTGATCGGGGACGTGCTTGGAGGCCGACCAGACAACGAAGTAGAGCAGGCACCCGATACCCAGGAGAAGGAAGCACCTCTCGCGCAATAAAACTTGTTCATCCCCTTATCCTTTTTATTTCATATTTTCATCTCTTTTTCTGCCTATTGAGTGTCAGGAGAAATCAAATCTCCAACCTCTTACAGCTCTCTGCTTTTTGCTCCATCCTCCAATTGTCAACATTGGGCTGACGACATCCTCATTGAAACTTCCACATTGATGCTTATTCCACCCCAGCTTCTCATTCTAACTTTCTCATCTTAAGTTAATTAGTGTTGAGTTTACATTTTCACCAAAAAAAAGTGTTGAGTTTACATCTTGCAACTGCAAAATTAGTTTTTTTTTGTATATGAACTTAACCAAGAATGTTCGAAGTCGGCCGACAAAAATGTAATTAAGAAATCCTTCAGAATGAGAAAATTCATTGTGGTTCACTATAAAAGACAGTAAAATTGTGAACTTTATGGTTAATATTTATTTATTGATGTTTAATTAATTTTATTAATTTTATTTTTAACTTATTTTTATTGGTGGATACATCTATCAAAAAAATTCTGGGTCCGCAACTAAATTTTAACTTTTCAAATTCATATATAAAATGTACCGATTTTTTTTTTAATAATTGCATGCCGCATTATTTTGATTTTCCTATTATTAATCTTACTTTTATCCCACGGCTGCAAATATAATACTTTCTTCTCGTCGTCCATCCCTCCCTCGTTTAATCCATCCATCCGAATTTGATTTTTCGAAAAATAATTATTACTCACAGCTCACCAGCAAAAGAGGAGAATCCAGAACCAGAACACACAAACCCATCGCCATCCTCATCCTGCTTTCAGAAAACCGGATTTCTCCAACGCCATCTTCGTCTGCGGTCCAAAACCAGAAACAAAAACAAAAACCCACAAAAACAATTGCAACTTTTGGCTTCGTCTTTCTGAATTCAATACTATTTTCTCCCCCTCTTCCTCTGCTCCCGTTGTGGTTTTTTGCAGATGGTCAAACAGTTGTCTCCTATAAGTATGGACTGCCTCTCCCTCTCTGTTCCCCTCTCCAATTCCTCCCTCCCATCCGCTCCTTCCTTCGGTGCATGGATTCATTGATTTTCTCTCTTCACCACTCCTCGCCATTAATCCCCTCCTCTTCCATTTCTCTCCGCTCCCCCGCTTGCTCCGCCTCGCTTTCTCCTCCTTCTTCCAACTTCAGTTTCTTCACTCATCGTCTCGGTTTCGCTCCCGTTTCCCGGCGTCTCATGGCTGCACCACCACCGGCGTCCGACAGCAAGACCGCCACCACCAACGGCGGCGGTGGTCATGGTTTGTTCAAGCCCAAGATCGTCAACGGCGATTATGGCTACGTTCTTGAAGACGTCCCTCATTTGACCGATTACCTTCCTCACCTTCCAGTACGCTCTTCTTTTCTCTTCCCCTTTTCCCCGCTCTATCTAATGGATCGGAGTAATTGACTCTTTGAATTCGTTTCTCGATCGATCGGTGTCTTGTTTGGTTTCTGAGAAACCGGAGAATTGATTCAATAATCCGCCAAATTTGAAAACCGAACTTGAATTAAATTAGTTTGGTTTCTGTTTCACAGACTCATTCCAATCCTTTGCAAGACAATCCTGCCTACTCCGTGGTCAAGTGAGTTGGATTTACCCCCCCATTTCTTGCCCAACTATTTGAAATTTTTAATGGCTGCCCAGTTTTTCTGTTCCCGCCCTCTGAATTGGGATTGAGCCTTTTCTTTCTGCTTTCCGTTTCCTCCAGGCAGTACTTTGTTGATGTGGATGACACCGTCCCTCAAAGAGTAAGAAAAACCTGCCTGGTTACTTGTGCTTTGATCTGGGCTAGCTAGTGAATGTCCTAATTTGATGATTCTTCTTTCTGTAGATTGTTGTCCATAAGGATAGTCCGAGGGGGACCCATTTCAGGCGTGCTGGACCTCGCCAAAAGGTAACGATTATTGAACTTTCCAGCTCTGGATGTGAGGGTGAAGCAAATGATATTTCTGTGGTTGTTTCTCTTATTAATATGATGTGGGGGGGTGGTTGTCTCTCACAGGTCTACTTCGATTCGGACGAAGTCAATGCTTGTATAGTGACATGTGGTGGTCTCTGCCCAGGACTCAATACCGTAATCAGAGAAATTGTATCTACCTTGTATTCCATGTATGGTGTGAAGAAAGTGCTTGGGATCGATGTAAGCAGGCATCAATTGTGTTTTGATCCATAGGCTAGCATTGGAATGCGTTGCTGCGTACTAATGATGTTATTTTTTAAAATGGGGACATGTGTGCAGGGGGGATACAGGGGATTCTATGCTCGAAACACGATTAATCTGACGCCTAAGGTTGTGAATGATATTCATAAGCGTGGTGGAACCATCCTCGGGACTTCACGAGGAGGTCATGATACGAAAAAGATAGTTGACAGCATTGAGGACCGGGGTATTAATCAGGTTTGTGAAAAATTATTCGTGGACCAGATGGAACAGATGGGTATTAATCAGGTTTGTTCGTTAGATTCTTTATGAGTTCAGGAATCGACGGATGTTAATCTGTACATGCTTCGTTTGATAATGTAGGTGTACATAATTGGAGGTGACGGTACACAGAAAGGGGCTTCGGTTATATATGAGGTCATATATCTTTGGGAACAAGGATTGCCATTCTCTAGTATATTGCTGTCTTCTTAAGGGGCTTATTCCAGAGAGTGGAATTGTAAATTTGAAGCTTTAACATGCAGGAAGTTAGAAGGCGGGGGCTCAAAGTTGCAGTTGCTGGCATTCCTAAAACAATTGATAATGACATTCCGGTATTGTACTTGGCTGTGCCTTACTGTAATCAAATGATGCAAAATACTTTTTGGATATTTGGATTACATGGTCATTTTCTGAACACAAGCTGTTTGGAACTTGGTTTATTTTATACCAGGTGATTGACAAATCATTTGGCTTTGACACTGCTGTTGAGGAGGCTCAACGTGCTATTAATGCTGCACATGTTGAAGCGGAAAGTGCCGAGAATGGCATTGGTCTTGTGAAGTTAATGGGTCGTTATAGTGGTGAGTCCCCTTGTAGTACCTGAAGCTAGCCGCCCCTTATTGTTTACTGAGGTTTTCATGGTTGATTGTTCCTTTTTCTGTACTTCTTTTTGTGGCTTGTATCCTCATTCAATTTTGTTTGGGATGCAGGGTTTATTGCCATGTATGCTACTCTTGCAAGCAGAGATGTAGATTGCTGCCTCATTCCAGAATCACCCTTCTACCTAAAAGGGGAAGGTGGACTTTTCGAGTTCGTTGAGAAACGACTCAAGGAAAGTGGCCACATGGTTATTGTGGTAGCTGAAGGTGCTGGGCAAGAGCTCCTTTCTGAGAGCAAATCAATGACAGATGCTTCCGGAAATAAGCTTCTTCAAGACGTTGGGCTGTGGTTATCACAGAATATCAAGGTTTGCCCTCTTCCCACCCTCTTTCTTTCATTCTCTTCAAATTCCAAGACCGTGTTTGCTGGTAAGTGTATGCCTGTAGGGGGAAGCTTTGTGGTCAAGATTGACAGTTCTCTTTCATTTTTGGCAGGATCATATGAAAGCACAGAAGATGTCCATAAATCTCAAATATATAGGTTTGACTTCATGCAAACTAGTGTTTTTAGGTACCTTGCGTCGGATTTTGACAACGAATAACTTAAATTCTTCAATGTGTTTTGTTTCCAACAGATCCCACTTACATGATTCGCGCTATTCCAAGCAATGCATCTGACAATGTTTACTGTACGCTTCTGGCTCAAAGTTGTGTCCATGGAGCAATGGCTGGTTACTCTGGCTTCACATCTGGTCTCGTAAATGGCCGACAAACATACATACCCTTCTACGTAAGTTGATGCCAAATTGCCAACATAGTCATTATTAGTACCGAAGGTTCCCCATATCTTTGCGATAGTCCATGTCAAATTGCATCACATGCTGATATGCACAGAAAGATTAAACGCATCAAGTTAACTGCAAACCTTGCAATCCAGCTAATGCATTCTTATTACGTATTATCTTATGATTCTCATGCGCACTACATGGCTAGAAAAAGGTCACACTAAACAAAGCTGCCATTATTCTTCTCTGTCCAGAGGATCATTGAGAAACAGAACAAGGTGATCATAACCGACAGAATGTGGGCTAGGCTCCTGTCATCAACAAATCAGCCAAGCTTTATGTGTCCTAAACTTGTGGCAGAGAAGAAGAAGGAAATGCAGACGAAGATGGAGGCACAACCTTCAGGACAGTTGATGGACGACGGGAACACTGGCGCTGATAAGAAGGCGGCAAACAAAGAGGTCAGGGCGTGACCGACATTCCCCCCCAAAAAAATAACCCACACTGCTAAATTATAGAATTTTAACCTTGCTTAGGTTGCAGTTGTTATTTTTCTTCCCACTCTCCTGCTTCCACTGTTTGGTTCAGTAGTTTTCACTAGTGTTCTTCAGTGATCCTCGGAGGCCTACTTTCCTCATCAAAGTGGATCTCTGGAGGACCTTGACAACATGTTGAAATGATGAATGGGGGGTGATTAGCTCATGATTTTTTTGTGAAGTGTAATGTATATGGCAACGAGACTGGATTGGATGCATATAGTTAAGCTGTTAATGCAATAATAATGATGCATGAACTTTGATCGCTGTTGGTGTGTTTATGTTATTGAGATTCTGGTGGTACTGGTAGGCATAGGGGGAAAAGAGCATCTGGAATTTGCAGTGATTGGGGACTGGAGCAGGCTGTTGAAAACTAACTGTCACGATTGTTTCTCTGGGGATAGGAAAATTGAAGCATTTGACAATGCAAGAAAAACAAAAGTGCACACACGGCACATGGTTTACGTGGTTCATTATCACAATGTGTGTTAGCTAGTCCACGAGTAGTAGAGAGAGTCAGTTTTACTATACTTCGAGGAGATACAGATTACAGAAGAGTATGACTAGTCCACGGGTAGTAGAGAGAGTCAGTTTTACTATACTTCGAGGAGATACAGATTACAGAGGAGTATGAGAAATATTTATAGTACTTCTTCATGGTTTAACCCTAATCCAATCTGGTAAAGGAAAAACAGTTACAACAAGGCTCAGAATACGAACCCAAACAACATTGACCCATACACCGTGGTTGATAATCCGATTCAAGTCACATCAACACTAACAAAATAGTTTGGGTTTACGGTGAGAAAATTATGTCACCATTACCAATAATATTGGGGTTTGGATTTTATCCTACTAGATTATATTGGACTCGGATGAATATCTACGAGTAGTTCGGATAATTGGTTCGGTTATAACTGGAACCGTTTAGTCGGTTCTCGGTTAACCATAAGCACTTTGTGCTTATCGTTGATCGTGCCATTTAAATTAGTCGGTAAATCGTAACCGTATAGTTGGTTCTCGGTTATTTTGTCGGTTAACTGGATAACCGTTAACCAAGTGATTCGGTAATGCCATACCAAAATAGTGAAAAAAAATTATAATTTTTCATACATACGCATGTGTTATTTTCTTAAATTGCTATCATTAATAAAAAATAATTTTCATAGATATATATCAATACATAATCAACTCAATCCAACACAGGTACACAATAATACCATTTTATCGCCAGTCAAACTTTATTAAAGAAGCATACAACGATAAGAGACCCAACAACAATTACTCAACTAGAAAATCGAATTTGTTTCTTCCTTCCGGTTCGGTTATCGGTTACACCGTTAACGGCATAACTGTTTACCAGCCCTATCTACGAGCATGGTTGTTTTTGTCATTCCTAACTCCGTTCTAACCATTTTATTCGTGACCAGTCACCTTGTCTTATCTTATCTTATCTTACTATATATTATGGTTGTTCAAAAACAACTTCTTGCCACATAAGCACTTGGAGAATTCACAAGTTGCCAAGGTAGACAATTTTTGTACAAGCAAAAAAGTTAGTTAATGAGCTATTTATGGAGTTATCTCTCTCCTTTTAATGATGTTTTTTTATTCAATAATTCTTTTTAATTTTTATATTATATATATATATATCTATGTTTGTAGAAAAAGATCAATGTTTGTAGAGTGATATATCATATTTTTTTAAACAAAAAATATCTTATTAAACTTAATCAAGTAAATTTTCTACTGTTTTTTTACTGAAACTAAATAATAAGTTATATGTTATTGAAAATTTTAAACAAACACACACATAAACAATAATATTTCCATCGATTAAACAAAATATAACGATGGAAATAGAGAAAATAATTGTTAGAAAATCAATCTACTTTAAAAAATGAACTATGTTATTTTATATTTTTGGCTATTAAACACTCTCTTATTTAGAGATGACAACCAAACCCATGGTCGCAGATACCTAACCGTCTCCGACCCAGTCAATACGGGGAATCTCCGCATTGATTGGGTATGGTGAAAACCCGCAAAATTTTTTATGGAGATGGGGGGATATGCTTTTGAAATCCTCATCCCCATACCCAAACCCTCCCCACCGAGGATATTATGTTATATTCAAAAAATATAACATCCACTTATGTAATTGGTGGCAACCAAACCGTAATTTCATCCACTTATGTATCAGTTCCATAATTTTGGGCAGGTAGTACCCATATTTTTTACATATTTTTTATGGTGAGTAGTTGATGGGGCAGGTATTACCCAAGGCCATGGGTATCCGAAAACCGCGAGTATGGAGATGAGTTTGTAAAACCTTCCGCCGTATGGGTATGGGGCGGATATGAGTTTAGGTATTTGAAAATGAGGATGGTAATGGTTTAGGCAAACCCTCCCCATTGCCATCCCTACTCTTATTTCTAATTAATATATCTCTAAAATAAAATAAGTATTATATAGTAAAAGGTCTGGATAAAAACTTGATGATGTACAAGTATTATATGGCACGTGAATGTTAGAGAAATCTTTGTTGACGATGTATGATAAACATTATGTTTCATCAACCACTGACCTAGCATTAATCAAACATGGGTTGACAATTTTCGTTTAGAAGTTGAATGTCTTCTACATTAAAAGTCTTTATAGTTAGAAGACTCTAAACCGAGCTATTAGGTTAAAAATGAAGAATCTTTATAAGCATGAGATTAACAAGGAAATTCTAATAAGGCATTTGGTTGCATGGTTGTGAGTATGTGACTCCATAACAAATTTTGGCAATAAAAAAAAGTTTATCATATCAAATTGTCAAAACAAAAATGCTAGTTTGTAACAGTAAGCAATATGTATTTAGATCGAGTTATCCTATCCACAAAATTTTGTTGCCTATTCCATTGAACGAGGTGTGTTCAAAGGTCTTAATTAGGGTTAAAAAACAAAGTAAACTCTTTATATACGTTTAGATATTAACAATAGATGTGTCTATAATACATCCAAGAATTCATCTATGTGAAATGTCACAAAGTTTGTATGAGTTTTTTTTAAATCAACTTTGTCAAAAAAAATTAATTCTTTAAATGATACGACGTTTTTAATGCACCTGTATCTATGTGCATTGTAGTTGTTGACATGATTTATCAATTATTAAGATATATAATGCAAATTTTTGTTCCAGAAGTAACACCAAAAATAAGAAAATTTTCGCAAGTGCACATTAAAAAATTTGGAAAGTTATAAACTAAAGGATCATGTTAAGACGAGAACCCTTGAAAGTGTGTGAGAGTGTATTGGTTTGAGATTCTTACAAGCCAACATGCAGACCACAACCATGGGTTGAAGGTTACTACAAATTTCAAGAATTAGCAATTGGTACAGATTGAGTAAATAAAATTTAATAGCTATACCTTTCAGAATTTTCAATATTTTAACCAAATCTTTTGTATTAAATCTTTTGTATCACATCCAAATATTAACAATTTTTCTGTTATTTTTAATAATTTTTTAAATCTTTTCTTAATTAAAATAAAATTTTTTTGAAAGGTATAACTATTAAATTTTGCTAACAAAAATGCTAACGGGGAGTTAACATTTGGCTAATACTTTGTATTTTGAAAGGTATGGCTGATAATTTTAAAGTTTGAAAGATTTGGTTAATAAATTGTATTTACTCTATTGTATAAGATACTAAATTTGAGTGTCTTGATAGACAAATTTTGACATAAGATCCTCAACAGAGACTTAATGAACATTGACATAAAAATGAGTCAAGATTATATAAGTGGATCATCGTAAGGAGTATGGCGTGTGTCAAGTTTCACTTGTGATAAACACATTTTATCTAATAATCAAGTATTTCTATCCAATAATCTAGACTCTTAATAATTGTTTGAGAGTTTGTCCTAACTCGAGAATCACAAATTGTTATATGTTTAATAATATTAGAAATTTAAGTGGCTTGGTTGACAAACTTTTGTATATATTCTAAATGTGACGTGATAAACTTTAGTGTGAGCATAAAAAAGTTAGAAGATTAAAAAAATTTTAAACATATAGATAAATTAATTTCTATAAATGATAAAATAAAATTTTCTGGCCAACGGGCCGGGTAAAAAACTAGTTGAGTCAGTGCCGGTTTCACATAGTAGCGGAGCTAATCCTATTAAGGTTGCCATGGGACACACTTAAAAGAATTTTAGTTGGATACACTAGTTAAGGGCTCAAGATAGGGTGCATAACCATGGGTTATGCACCCATCAATAACTAAATCTGAAACCTTCATTTAGAAAATCCAGATTTAAGGATGGAGAATTAAAAGTCTTTTTTTTTTTAATCGGCTCATATCTTCTTCGTTTTATCTCGGATTTTTTTTTTTTTTTTTGCACAGATGGAACGAGTTTGTTGGGCTCTACAAAATGAGATCCATTTTCAATATTTTTTTAGAAAAAAAAATTATTGCCTCTCGGTACCAACTGCATACCATATGGTATCTTCTTCGTTTTTAATTTGTTTTTGAAAAAGTTTGCACACAAGAAACGAGTTCATCATGATCTAATATCTATTGGATCTACAAATTTCTGGATGAACAAATTACAGGATCAAAAAATACCACACAATACCACCCTGGTACGGGGTGGTATCTTGTGGTACACAATGTTAAAAGTCGTAAATGACAGTTAATATACTTCTACTATCATGTATTCAATCATCCTATAGTTTTGGTTTGTTAATACCAACATGGTACGCTTTTCAAACCATATTGCTCTTATTTCAATACCACTAAATACTATTAAAAGGATAAAAGGCACAAACACCCTGTACTGTAGTCTCAGATACAATTTACTGTGCACCAAGATACGATTTCCTATTCATTTAGACCTAATTTTCCTATTCACCTGACACTGCACAGTGTTCCTTCCTTTTTGGCGAGGGGTCCGTAGAGAGAAATCGATGGGAGGCTCTTGCGATCAGTTCCTCTTTTTACTGGCGATGGGACAATTTGTTGCCTGCTCTGTGTTTCTGGTTAGCTTTTGGGTGGTCCTTGAGCTTGCACGTTGGTCACCAATTCTCTTGCCTGACTCATGGTACGACCGCGGGGGCAAATTTGGGTTGGCGGTGCCTCTGGTTGGCTGGTTACGCCCCAATGACGTGGCGGATTTGGACCTCGATGCAGTTCGCGTTGGTCCTGGGGATGCTTTTGTGAGGTTGACGTTCCTGCCAGAGACAATTTTTCTGACATCGATTTGCTGATTCAGCCTGGGGAACTGAGGCTTTTGGGTGTTGTTTGGGTGGAAGGTTGCTTTTGCGGTTTGCCTGTGATTGATGTAGCCGCCGAGGGTGTTTCAGCCATACTTATCCAGCTTGCATATTTTCTGGTGTTGTAATCATTTCATTCTATTTAATGAGGAAAGCCACGTCATTGGGGTGTGCGAAAATCGATGCTTGAGTCGTGGGTTTTGCGAAGAATAGCTGGGTCATTTAGGGGGAGGGGTTCATTATTTAGGGGACTTGCAAAGTTGCTATCGTTTGGGATTTACTCTGCTTCTGTTCTCGTTTATCTCTTGGTTTTTGTCTTGCTCGTGATATCCTTTGTTGTGGGTTTTGATGGATTCGACACTTTTGTGCAACCTGAGAGGGACCAGCAGCGATGTAACTCTTCGTTTGCGCCTGCTTCACATGTGGCTTGCTAAAACGCCCTCGGGTTCAAGGATTTTCAACCATTGCTGCTTGTGGGTTGATCAGACGGTGAGTGACGATTGTTGTAGTTGTTGCATTTGGTTGCCTAAGCTTTACAGTTGGGTGTTTCGCCCATGTGTTTACCATTCAGTGTTTTTTGTTTTCTTTCTGCCAAGAGCTTTATGGGGTAATTTGTTTGGGTTATTGCGGTAGTGTGTTGTGGATCCCGTAACCTTTTTATTCCCATAGTTCAATCACACCTCCCTTTTCTTTGTGTTTCACATGTATGCACTAATTTTGGGTGCTTTTCGTTTCTTTGATTTAAGCGTTCTTTGTGGTATGTTGTGTGTGCATGTGCAGGGGATGCTGATCCAGTCTCTTTCTGATCCTGAGATGGCTGCTGATACAGAACGCTCTCTTCGTGTTGGCTGCATCTATATCATCAGCCGGTTTGGCCTTCAGTCGTCAAGGGGTCTCTATCGAGCTTGCTCTTTTGATCTGACTATTAAAGTGACGAGGTCAACTGGGTTTCAGCAATGTACTCTTCCTGCTGCTGGATTTCCTGCTGATTCTTTTGAGGTTATGGTGCATAGCCACCTGCACACAAGAAGTGGCAATCATGATATTCTCACAGGTGCTCTCTTTTAAGCGTGCTTTGGCCATTAAGGGTTCTTATGTGGTTGGTTGTGTTTTCACTAATGCCATGTTTTCCTGTCTTCCTGATGTATGTTTGTGTCTTTGTTTCCTGAAGAAGTTATTGGCCTATTGCATTCCATTGGCGGCATCAGTCATCAAGTTACCGAGTTTGGCCCCACGCCTAAACAAACCTTGGTGCTTGAGAATCATTCGTATGTGTATAGTGGTGCTCCTTGCTTTCAACTGTTAAGCTTCTTGATCTATGCTTTGTGTCCTGACTTGGTATAATACTAAATTTCTCAGGGGTGAAACAGTTGCTGTCACGCTTTGGAATGAGTTAACGACAGTTCTTGATCGTGCTGCCTTAATTCAGGCAGATTTAATCGAACCTGTTATAATTGCTGTTGGGAGCCTTATGGTCTCTTTGGTGAATGGTATGATGTGTATTTGCGTTCATGTCAAAATTCCTCCTTCACTATGCATTGAGGGTTGTCAGGCTTTTCAGCTTCGTTTATGTTTTCTTTGCTTGGACGTAATTCTATGTTTTTGGGTTTCTTATAGGAAGTTATGTGTGCTCCAGTTCGTCAGCTACTAGGCTGGCTGTTAATCCACAGATTCTGGAAGCAATTCATCTGGCCACTCAGTTTGTTTTTTTGTAAAGTGAGAATGTTCTTCACTTTTGTCGATCACTCTTTTTGTTTAGTTTTGATTCTGAACCTAATTCATATATATTAACTCTGTTGCTAACTTTAGATTCCTTCACACATTTTATCTGCAACTAATGTATGGAGATGATTTTGTTTTTTTACGAGGGATCTTTTGTGTTGTTATAAATCTCCACTGAGATTGTCTATGCTTTCTAAGCTGCCTGTAATTATTTGGCAGGCTTCAGCTCGCTACTTTTTATATGGCAATTAACTTGGTTTTTGTGGTTTCTTTCTTGACAATGTTTGATTTGACAATGATTTCCTACTTTCTTGACACAATTATTAACAACAAACAAATCTTATTGTTGTTGTAGGTGAGCTGCATAGTTCCCCTGATAATCGTGGACAAGGAAGGTTTCATTAGTAGATTGAGACTTATTTTTTAAGGTTTAGTGGTGTTGATTAATTAGCAAACTGAAAACATGTAAACTTTTTGTACTAATTATGCTGCTGAGCTATTTCTTGGTGAAACCTCAACTTTCAAAGTGTAATGCTTAATGCTCCTGTTACTTGGAGAATAAAATGAAAATATGTTTTTGGTTTGGACACTTATAACTTATTACTATGTGTCCATGTGATATCAATTAATTAGTTTAGTTTTTTTTATGAACTAAAAAATAACCCACATCCCGTCGCGGAGCGCGGGTAAGAAAACTAGTATGGTATAAACTGGTAAAAAATTGCTCAATTTTTTTTGTTCGAAAAATATATCAAAGTGGATATCATTTTGAAGAGCACAATTAATCTAATCTAATTGTGCAAAAAAATTAAATTTCGACTTAAAACGAGTGAGAAATCGTCCGTCAAATATTAAGGAGGGGAAAATTAAAGACCTTCCAAGAGAGAGAGTGACGCTGATGTCATGTTGATGTGGACGAGTTACTCAGACCATCTCCAACAATGCAATCCTTCTTCACTTTCAAGTGTGGTCCCTACTGCCACCTAAACAACTCTAGCAATTACTTCACTCATCCATTTCATACTAGCTACATCAATGCCATCCAATGCAATTGCACTTCTGGGTCCCACTTACATTTTAATACCACACAAATGGTTGGGAAAAGAAGAAAGAAAAACAAAAACAAACAAAGGACCCACTTGCAATTGCATGTCAGATTTTCATGGTGTGCAAATTTGCATCCCTTGAAAGTGGTCTTGCATCAATGCCATCCACTTTTTCAATTGCACATGGCTGCCACGTCAGCTTGCAATTCCCTCCATTTGCACCATTGGAGATGCTCTCATAGTTACTCACCCTAAAGTTACTGACCTGATCCAGACCCCTAGTTAATAATATAGACAAATAATATTTTGTTTTTACCGTTCTTGCCGGATATGAAAACATGCCACGATCGATTATAAAAAGGAAACTTGTATTACATGAAAATATGCCACAATCGTTTGAGAAAAAGGAAACTCGTATTAATTGGTTATTTCTTCTTTTATGAATGAATTCGTTAAATATTAATTTTAAAAATATTTATATTACATAGAATGACACTTGTTATGGGATCCCTTCACACAACAACTCAACAAGTAATGTGTGGCAACCCAAATATTTTATGATGGGATTCAGGAGCCTTTTCTCATGGAATGCTTAGCTCTACGGGATGCTGTGCAGTGGTGTCTAACTCATTCCTTTCTTGCTGTTTGTTTTCATGGGGACTCTCAACTCTTGATCCGTCGGATGATTGGAGGGAATGTGCAACATGTTCGGGGTGGCGCTATATTGGAGGACGTTCGGAGCTTGACATCTTCGTTTCACACTGTTTCCTTCTGTTTTGTGTCTCGTCACCTTAATAGGGTTGCCCATCATGTGGCACAAAAGGCCCTCTCATCGGGAGTTCGACTATTGGTCGACTCCCGCGCCTTTCTTTCTTCCGATTTGTGACTTTTGATTAATACTCTGACTTTGGAAAAAAAATGTGTGGCAACCCAAATCTCCTTGTTTAATGATGGCAATTTAGACCAACGTGCCAACCCGTAGGTCGACCCACGGGTTGACCCAGATTGGCTTGGACCCGCTCCTAAAAGCGAGCTAAACCAGGTGATCCATTAACCCTTAACCCACTAGCTCGACCAAATTCCGATAGACTTGCAGGTTGACAATATTAAACACAAAACTGAACACACTAAAGGCCAGCAATTTTTTTCACTTATCAAGAAGGAACACAAACCCACATTCCCACAAAAGTTACACTTTCTTATTCTTATACAAGAAAAGAAAAAAAAAGCATCAATGTCCACAGTCATACAATGGTTGAAAGATTGATCTGAAATACATTTCCCCCTTAATTTTTTTACCACTCCATTTTCTTGTTTTTACCAGCAAAGCGAAGGGAGCTTAAAGGAGAATGAGGAAGGCAAGTGCCCTGTTCTTCTGATGTAATCAGCCCTTTCCGAAGTCCTCACAGCTTTCTCATTCAGCTTCGCCTCAGCATTCGCTCGCTTCTCTTCAGCAACTCGCTTCGTTGTCGCCAGTTTATTGCTCAGTTTCTCCTGTGCTCGAGCCTTCATTCTCTCCGCTTTCACCTGCAACGACACCAAAGATCGAACGAACAACAGCCACTGTCAGTCGGATTGTAGTTCATGATCAGACCCTAACAACAGATGGATCTTTAGCTACCCAACCCAACAGATCCATTCATTCATTCATTCGCAATTTGGTGTTGTAATCGATCTGTGCCGGTCAGGAATATCGATCGAGCCACACATCATCGTCGTCAATCAAATTGGTAATGTTGTATCATAGCTGGTGACGGTATGTTTTAACAGACAAGAGAAACGAAACAAAGACTTGACAGTTGACAGCAAGATTCTGTTCAATGCATAAAATGGCCCAGATTCTACCCTTTTTGTACCCCAAAGGCAAAGCAGATAAGAGAAAAGAAAGAAAGACTTTGACAGCAAGATTCTGTTCAAAATAAATCACAGGACAGAATCCAATCCACAAGGAAAGAAAGATTCATCATTCATCAAGAGAGAAAAATACCTCCATCTTCCTCATTTCCATCTCTGCTTTCCTCTTCTCATGATTCTCCCACGCTTGAATCTTCACCTCCTCACGTTTATACCTGTACACATATACATCACATTTCCTCAAAATTAGTCACATCACATTCGATCCAAACCGACGAGAGACTAGCAATTCAAAGTAAGATCGTACCGAATTCGTCATGAAACAAGATCACATTCCCAACTTTAATTACCTTGCCATGTACTTAGCACACTCAGCCTCATCCCAAGCCGCCGCCCTCGCTTCCAACGGACTCATGACCCCAGTTGTCGTCTCATCACGGTCACGGTGACTCGAATCCTCCACCTTCGTGACAACAACCGGAGAAGTACCAATACCATTCGTCTCGCCGTAATAAACCCTAGAGGCAGCGCCGCCGCCCCCGCCATTGGCAGCCGCGTCTGTACCAATTTGGTACCCATTGTGGGCCCCTCTCACCGGAGTGGTCGATCCCGACGAGATCGGGCTCCTCGCCGCCGGCGTGGTGGCCCTGATCGGAGTCGCGGCCCTCGACGGCTCCTGGCTCGCAATCGGGGTCATCTCCGTCCCCATATCCCTGACGCAAATCGATCTGATCGGCGGCGGAGCCGGAGCAGAGCTCTGAACGCCGGCGGCCGGCGGCTTGTTCGCCCTCCAAATCGACTCGTTGCATTCCACTTTCTTCGTCGTGAAAATCCGATCCTCGCCGGACTCCCCGCCGCCGTTCTCTCCCGGATACTCCTCCTCCTCCTGCTGAGGGACCGGAGCGATCAACCGCCGGTCGTCGGCGTTGGAGTTCCTCGGCTGCTGGCCGCCGTGACCCTTTTCTCCTCCGCCGCGAGACAACCCCACCAGCCATTTCTGGGCGTCGTCCCATTTCGACGGCGCCGGCTTCCCCAAAGCAATTCGGTGGTGCTGCTGACGATTCTGACCACCGGAACCACCACCGCCGCCGCCCGACTTGTTCGTCCTGCTGCCTTTGTGAAACTCGAAGCTAATCGTGCCGTTACTGGTCGAAATCTCAGCCTTATCCTCAACAGATCTCATCTTCTTCTTTTTTTTTCCCCCTCTCTCACAAACAGAGCAGGTAACCAACAATGTCACTCTGTTTTCACTTCCTCTATCAACCTGAGATTGAGATGGTGGATGATATGATTTAGAGAATAGAATGGTCCAAAACCCAAATCCAGAATGTAAGAAAAAAAACTGGTCCACAAATTGACTAGACCATATGGTAGATTGGGGTTCATAAAGGAGATTTATATAACAAAAAATTATCAGATCTCAAGGGAGGGAAATGAGGAGGAAGAAGCCAAGAGAGTAGAGACTAACCGAAGATTGCAAGGTAAATTTTTTCAAGGAGTAACATAAGCAAGTTGAGAGGACACATTTAAAGAAAGAGTGGGCAGCTGCTCCCAACAGCTTGCTTGAAAGCTCTCTGACCCAAATGGAAGAAAGAAAGAAAGGCCACAGAGAGAGTGATATCTGAAACAAAGGGACCCTCTGAAAATGGTGATGTATACAGTGAAAATTGGATGCAGAGGTGTTTTTAACTGACTGGTGAGGGAGAGCTGCTGCAGAAGAGAAGGTGGTACCAAAGGCTCATAAATTGACTGCAGCAGCATCCATGGGATGGGAGAGGGAAGTGAAGGGGAAGCAGTAAAAAAGAATGTGAGATTTGGGTGAGGTATTGGGTGTTTTTTTAGCAAGTGAGGGGGAACAGAGAGTAGAGGTTGAGAAATCTATAGAGAGGAAAATGAGAATGATTATTCCCTCCCTCAGAACCATGACTCCATGAGGGTTGTGGCTGGCAAAACTAGGAAAAGGCGGTAGAGAGAGAGGGGGTCAGATCCATTACACAATAAAAAACTGAACTTTAAGCCAGCAGTGGTGACTGCATGGTTGAAACTTGCGCCAAAAATCTCAGCACTATAAAACAAACCAACAAAAAGGTTCAACATGAATGCCACTAGTGGGGTGAAAGAGATCAAAAGATGGGTGGAATGGAAGGGTGGAACAAGGAGGGCATATGGGTACATTAATGTACCATCTCCATCATCAACACCTTTTTTCTTCAATATAGAACCCTAATTCAGATTGAGTTAAGAATGTTGATATGCTCTAATGGAAGGATGGATGTTCGTGGAACAGATCTCGACTATTCGTATCAATGTCTGATACTGAAACGCGGAGGATTAAAATGTAGTAGTATAAAAAGGTTCAATAACGAATCGATTTCATCGTAAATTGTACATCGTTGATCGTTCTCGAAGTATCTACGAATAGAGGTAGATCATATTTTACGTTGAAGTCTGTGTTTAACTTTTCTTTCTCCCTTTTCCCTTCTCTTTTTGTAACACACTCCTCAGGGACAGGGCTTAAGTTCCCAGTCCACCCAAAAGAAGGAACGGCAGAGAAGTCAATTTTTTAAAAGGTAGTTGGCCGCTTTAACGGTAACTGGGGAGGCTGCCTGTGGAAGGGTGCAGTAAAAAGGTGGGTGACACGTGGACGGTGGAGATCAAGCTGAAAAAAGCCGGTTGATAATATGTAGTCAAGTCATAAAACTTAGTAGAATAATCGCGGGAAGGATGGTCGTGTATTCTTCGATCTGAATTGTATTGAAGCTGGTAATATTCAATTCAAAATAGTGTAGGATGGGGGACATGATACGGATATTATTTTCGTCCTTCCTTGTTCCGTTTCATTTTTGTTCTATTTGATCTCGATTTGTCTCAATATTTATTTATATTTTTGCTATCTTGACTTATATTAACTCAAAATTTCACTTAAGATTTTAATTAATTGAGCTTAATTAATCCACACATTATCTATAAGGCTTAATTGCAAGTTTGGTCACTCGAATTGCTTAAAAATTTCACGTTTGCCACTCGAATTGATTTATTCCATTTATAGTCACTTAAATTAGTTGAACAGTCCAAGTTCAGTCACTCTCCGTTAACCTCCGATAGACTCCGTTAATGACGACCGTTAAGTGATGACGTGGCTAACAGAAAGACACAATCAGCATATTTTAACATTAAAAAACGACGACCCGACCCGCCAGCTCAGCCTTACCCGCCCTGTCAGCCATTCTTGCCCAACCCGCGAACCAACCCAATTAATTGACCCTAAACCCAAACCCGAGACCCAACCACCTAAAAAGTAAATCGAAAACAGAGGGTTAGGGCATTTCCCTTCCTCCATCTTCGTCCTCTCATCCTCCCGCGCCGCCTCTCTCCATCGCACACCATCGAAAAGCTCTCCCCACAAGGAGGCCAGCCACCCTTCCTTCCTCCCCCTTCCCCACACAAACAAAAAAGAATGGAGCTCACAGATTCACAAAGCAATCCCAATAAGCAGCAGCAGCAAAACAACAGCAACAACAGTTCATCCCAAGAACCCCACCCTCACCATCTCCACCACCATCTTCTCCAGTACCAACAGTTCCGCTTCGATGGCGGCGGTGGAGGTGGAGGCGGAATGGCCAAGAATGGCTGACAGGGCGGGTAAGGCTGAGCTGGCGAGTCGGGTCGTCGTTTTTTAATGTTAAAATATGCTGACTGTGTCTTTCTGTTAGCCACGTCATCACTTAACGGTCGTCATTAACGGAGTCTAACGGAGGTTAACGGAGAGTGACCGAACTTGGACTGTTCAACTAATTCAAGTGACTATAAATGGAATAAATCAATTCGAGTGGCAAACGTGAAATTTTTAAGCAATTCGAGTGACCAAACTTGCAATTAAGCCTTATCTATAATGAGTATGAATATTGAGGTACCAGTTCCGACTCATTGCGATCAAGGAGAGAGATAGGGTTTGTGTGGGGCTTTTCACGTGGACATGATGGGAGGCTTCTGATTTCGATTGTTTTGTAGCGTCACATTTTCTAGGTCTCTCAACATACGTCTACTTCTTTCAGAGTGAGCTAAGCTGGAATTTCTGTTTTTCTCCCCCGAGAAAGTGAATGGACCCTCTACACATGTGTTATGATGAGAATGAGATGGGAGTTGTGGAGAGGATGATTGGCCAACAATAATTAACCATCGTGGTATTTCTAAAGTTTGATTATTTTCATATTTACCGACCGGCTACCAGTAATTGCTAAATAAAGAGAATTACGACATAACGTGGTTCATCAAATTATGTAAGCAGTTTAAGGTTGTCAATTCGCAGGTTGTTTATGAGAGTGATCCGGTTTGATATGGACCAAGTGAGAAAAACAGGTATTCATAAAAAAAAAGTGAGAAAAACAGGTATCACTCATTTGAGGGTCTATCTGCTGCAAGATTTCAGGGTTGGAGGTCACATAGTGTAATTTTCTTTTTTGGTTTGCCAAATGCGTATATTTTTTGGTTTTCTTCTTCGTCTAGCCCTATATTTGGATTTCTAAGTTGAATATCTGGATATTGATGTTATATGAGTGTGTTTTGAATTTCCAATGTGTTGGATCCAACTATGATATGTTATTTTGATAATCACCCATATTTTAGATGACATTTGACATAATTTAATTGACACAGGAACTGCCATAAGTGTTCATGTCAACGGAGCAACTCTAGGTCAAAAGTTCTATGCGCTTGGAGAACCTATTGATAATTTAGGTCCGGTAGATACTTGCACAACATCCCCTATTCATAGAGTTGCACCCGCCTTTATACAATTAAATGCATGAAAAATATAATAACATTTTCATATATCCAAGCTAAAGCGATTGACCATTACCACTCAACTCACTTGCTCGATCATGCCAATGAACTAAACCAAGTTCACAACTTTAGCGTAGTTTTATTTTTGGGTAATGTCTATTTTTTTATCCAAATCTTTTTCAAATTCTTTTATATTATCCAAACCTATTAAAATGCTATTAATTAGACAAATCTTTCGTAATGCATCAAAATATTAGCCATTTTACGTTATTGTTAATAATTTTGTAACTCTTTTCTTAGTTAAAATACTCAAATTTTGGAATGTTAACCTTCGTGTGTCTCTTCCAAGTCAGTATTATGTTGCCAAGTCAATATTACTAATAAAATTGCTAGCTGAAAATTAGTATTAGACTAATCTACACAATAATTAAAAGCCAAATGAGAAAACTTGAACCCTCATTTCAAATTTCCTGAATCCAGAGTGAAAGTAGGAAGGACATTTTGGTCTTCACAATTACTTTTTTTTATTCATTAAAAATAACACTTACTAGGATTCGAACCATGACCACTTTAAAGAAAAGGAAAGATCATAACCAATTACACTAAGTACATTTGTTATATCTTTTTAAATGAAAAACATATAATCGCAGAGAGGAAAAAACCTTCCCCCATTTTAAATTCTCTGCTCCAGGAGCGCTTGTAGGAAGGGTAGAATAGGGAGTGTCAATTTTTTTCTTTTTCCTCTGTGGAACGGGCCAACTTACCTAACACATGCGGATTTAAAACGGGTCCAGGAGTGTCAATTTTTTTCTTTAAGTCCTTTTATTTCTCTGTGGTGGTAAAATATATATGAAAAGGCAAAAACAATACTCCTTTTTATTGCTAATTTTTTTTTTTTAACAATAAACTAATGCATGGATTCTAATGGGCTAACCGCTAATATAAAATAAAAGAGTTGAATGGGCCTGACCTACACGGGATTTGCCCATCAAGTAAAACAAATGAACATCATGGGTTTGCCATTCTAAAACAAGCTATTTTCTCTAGCATAATATACATTATGCTAAAATATAATGTATTTTAAAGTTATTCAATGGTTCAACCTCGACCAGCCCAATTAGTCCAATTTTTATCATTTCAAATATATATTATGTAATTATTTGATATCATAATTATTAAATTATAGTGTATATTATAGGGAATCGTTTGGTATTTGTTAGTAAAAAACTAAATAGAAAGATCTATTTGGTTATTTTTAACATTAAAACAATCCTAAACATTTTCAGTTTCCTTTCGAAATTATATAGTTTTATTCCCGAATCAGTGATGTGCAAATGGCAAATTGCAGTCATCTCTTTTCTTTCATTATTTTTTATTTTCAAATAGAAAGTTTAAAAGTAAAGAGTAATTAGAGTTTGGCATAGGTCGGTCAAACAAGCTGAATTTCAAGTTTTGGCCCATTTTGATCAAGTATAATTTATAACTAGTTTTTTACCCGGCCCGTTGGCCGGAAAATTTCATTTCATCATTTATAGAAATTAATTTATCTATATGTTTAAAAAAATTTAATCTTCTAACTTTTTTATGTTCACACTTCATAAGTGAGTATGTTATATGTTCATATTAAAAATTCTCAATATTTAGCACACCCACCTATGATGTTCATAGGTTTCGATTCTCCAATCATAAATCACATTTTAAAGGTTTATCACGTCACATTTAGAATATATATACAAAAGTTTGTCAACCAAGCCACTCAAATTTCTAATATTATAAAACATATAACAATTCGTGATTCTCGAGTTAGGACAAACTCTCAAACAATTATTAAGAGTCCAAATTATTGGATAGAAATACTTGATTATTGGATAAAATGTGTTTATCCCAAGTGAAACTTGACACACGCCATACTCCTTACGATGATCAAATTATCTAATCTTGACTCATTTTTATGTGAATGTTCATTAAATCTCTGTTGAGGATCTTATGTCAAAATTTGTCTATCAAGACACTCAAATTTAGTATCTTATACAATAGAGTAAATACAATTTATTAACCAAATCTTTTAAACTTTAAAATTATCAATCATCCCTTTCAAAATACAAAGTATTAGCCAAACGTTAACTCCCAGTTAGCATTTTTGTTAGCAAAATTTAATAGTTATACCTTTCAAAAAAATTTGTATTTTAATTAAGAAAATA